ACATATGACATATATGTTTTATAAATGGAAACCATAGTTGGCCATGACTTCATAAAAGCGCCATTTTTAAGCTTTTCAGCTAAATAAGCTATAATATGTTTACTTCGAAAAATTACTGAGTTATAGCCAATTCTTATCATTTTTAAACAATTTCACTTAGTTAGCCATGGAAACAAGTTGAATCGCCGTTGCTCTCAGAAATGTGAAGCCATCGCATCCAAACTTTGTAAATTAAAATAAATAAAAAATTGTAAATATGAATTTTTCAAATGAAGAAAAAGCGTGTAGTTACTCGCGCATCATTAGAGTGTTTCCAAATGACCCCCCTCCCATAATGAAAGAAATGTTAAAAATTATTTATATCATAATAATATAAACTCAGTGATAGGAAGAGGTGGACTAATTGCATGGGCCTCCTCGATCACCTGACCTATCCATTTTAGATTTTTTTTATGCGGTATTGTTAACAATAATGTTTACAAAAGAACTTATGAATTAAGAGAGGCACTCGAAGTGGCGGTACGAGAGAAGTTTAATTAAGTCGACCGGTCCTTCTGTGAGAATAGGTAATAATTCAGTTTTAAAAAGATGTAACTCTCAAAACAATGGCGGATTTTTTGAAAATTTTCTAAAATAACTTAAAGTGTATGCAGTGACTGCAGTTATATTATTATTTTTAAGTTTTAGTTTGTGTAATGTAAATTCTAAAGAACCGTTTAGTAATATATTCTGACTTTTTATAAGTTATAAATCACAAAAGAATAAGAATGCCATGCAATCTAAGTGAAATTAGTCAAGAAAGATAAGAATTGGCTATAACTAAATATAACTTTTTTCTAATAAGTCTTGAAAATCGTTCTCTAAAAAACATAACATTCACCGTTCAACGTATCCTCGAAAATGTATGGTCAAGAAAAGTTGAACCAATAATCTTACACGCCTTTCTTCATTTGAAAAAATTCATATTTACAATTTTTGTTTATTTTAATTTACAAAGTTTGGATGTGACAGATTCACATTTATGAGAGCAAAGACGATTAAACTTGTTTCCATGGCCAACTGAGTGAAATTATTTAAAAATGATAAGAATTGGCTATAACTCAGTAATTTTTCGAAGAAAACATATTATAGCTTATATCGCAAAAAGGTTAAAAAATGGCGCTTTTTATGAAGCCATGGCCAACTATGGTTTCCATTTAATAAAGCATATATTTGTGCATATGTCAAAAATGATAGGCTTGAGAAAAAAACGGAGGACACGATCTCATTAACGATGTGATTATCTACAACTTTTATTTGAAAAGTTTTTGTCTAAAATAGCTTATAATGGAATTAGGGATAATTTTTAAAATAGTAGAAATTTGTTTTTTTCAAAATATCTAGTAAGCCATGAACTTTTTCAAAAATCTGAAAGGCGTATATTTATGACCCCACAAAACTGCAATTCTTTCGCCATTTAACCGACTCTCTATCTCTAATAGTTTCCGAGATACCCATAGAGAACATCGTAGGAAACTCACCCCGTATAATATTGTGATCGAAAAAAAAATCGGCGTCAGAGATGGCATGGAAATGAAGAACGCTAACATTTTATAATATGTAAAATTATGTGGGGAATGTAATCGATCGTCATTTCCAAGACAACTGTATGTACACCTCTTTTTCAATTACTTATTTATATCTCTATATTATTATTATTTATTATCTTGTGTTTAAATAAAATAATTAAAAATACTCATAAAATAATTATTTAATTAATTATTTATAAAATAATTATACCGAGTGCGTCTTAAAAGTGGCTCACCCATATTACTTTATTATATTTTCAAATAAAAGACGAGATTTGGTATTGTAGTATATGACATAAATTAGGATAGATTGACGGTATTCAACTGTTTATGGTCACTTCCTGTTTTACCGGAAATGACTATAACTTGTGATTTTTAAATAACACCCCCGTTTTTTTAAATTTATTTGATAGAAAATGACATTCTGAATAGAATGACTCAACATATGTCAACTTTTGACGTGTTCTCATATGATTTATTTGAAATTGCATCATGCGGTTAATAACGACAATTTGACTCGCAGTTCCAAGCGTGTGGTACAAAATTATTCGTAAAAAATTATTTTTCCAAATAGGCTAATAAGCCACCCTCGTTCCATTTGAAAAAATTGAGATATGATTAAAATTACGATTTTGGCATCTTTTAACCGGCCAGGACAAGACATGAAAAACATTAGACGATCAAATATATTTTTGCAGTGCTTCTTGATTAAAAATTAGTGTTTTTAACACAGTCATGGCACTCTAGATTGAAATTTAAAATACGAGTTTTTAAGCGTCAAAAGTTGATATATGATATATCGTTCTATTTAGAATGCCATTTTCTATCGATTAAAATAAAAAAAATCCGAGGGTGCTATTTAAAAATCAAAAGTTGTAGTAATTTCCGGTGAAATAGGAAGTGATAAAAAACAATTGAATACGTAAATCAATCCTAATTTATGTCATATTACTAAGAAACCAAATATCGTTTTTATCTGAAAAAATAAAAAAGTGATAGAGGTCAAGAACGGTAAACTAATAGGATTGCTCATCCTCATAAGACGTACGTTCGCCTCTTCCCGCGCTTCAGCTAACAGTTGTGACGTCATTGTAGCCCTTGTCAAAGCCTTCGTGGCCTTGTCATGATAGTGTGTATTATTAGTTGCCTATGGTAAACTTATAAAAATAACAGCTGAGAAATTTTGAGTTAATTATTTTGTCAATTTTAAATGTGAAAAAGGTGTCTTTAAAGTTTTTAAAGCTATAGAGTGTATAAATACGTTCATTTTGTGATGTGGATTGTGACAAAGTGCATACTAAGTGCCCACGATTTTGTTTATTAATTATTTTAAAGCAAAATATGGAAGTACTCTAAAAAGAATGCTTGCAAAAGGTGATGCTGGGAACTGCTGTTCTTAAAAATGCATTATCCGAGTATTTAATACGATTTATACAGTTAATTTTCTATACTGCATACATATAAGGTGTTTAAATAAATAAACTAAATAATGAACATTTTGCATTCGGTAACCAATAATGCACGTGTGTGTATTATTGGTTGCCGGATAAGGACTAATAACCATGACAAGGGCTACAATGACGTCACAAAGCGAGTAGTTTTCGCATGCACCTGGCGGACACTTTTGGCTGAATGAGCAGTCCTATTAGGTTAACTGTTCTTGGATAGAGGTGAGCCAGTTTTGAAAAACAAAACAAAGATTAGCATGTTACCCTCCGGTATCTGTTAAATTTGACATTCAGTAATAAACAATTAAAAAATTGGTCAGTTGGCAAATTTTGGCGTTTCTTTTTATAATTTTACATAAGGGTACCCTATCCTTTCAGCCACCAAAGAAATAAATTCTAGTCTAGAAACTTATTTACACAACTTACTGAATATCAAAATATATTGTGCATAATATTTTTTGTTTATGCATTTCTTCATACCTAAGGTTTCTGGTAAAATTTAATAGCTTATTAATACAACAGGGGGCCTTATTTTTTAAGAAATTATAAACTAAGTAGAGAAATTAAAGAGAAAAAATGTGTAGGAATGATTTATAATAATGATAATATATGATCGGTAAATGGAATAGTTATTTATAATTGGCATCACGAAAGACAATAATGTTTTACAACAAAAATTACTTTTTTTAAACTATTAATTTATTTAAAATATATAACTAAATGTATTAGTACTAGATATACCGGATGCGTCTCAAAAGTGGCTCACCCCTATAACTTATAAATTACCCCTATATGACATAAATTAGGATTGATTGACGTATTCAATTGTTTTTAGTCACTTCCTTTTTTACCGGAAATTACTACAACTTTTGATTTTTAAATGACACCCTCGGTATATTTCTACATTATTCGATAGAAAATGACACTCTGAATAAAATTATATATCATATGAATAGAATGACATATCATATAATATGTCAACTTTTGACATTTTTGCATATGGTTTATTTGAAGTTGTAACATGAGATTCATAACGACGATTTGACTCGAAATACCAAGTGTGTGGTATCAAATTATTCGTAAAAAATTGCTTTTTCCAAATATGCTAATGAGCCACCCTCGATCCATTTGAAAAAAACTGAGATATCATTAAAAATGCGACTTGGGTTTCTTTTAACCGCGCGGCCGGTACAAAACACTAAAAACATTAGACGATCAAATCTTATTTTTCTAACGCTCCTTGATTAAAAATTATTGTTTTTAACACATCCATAGCACTCCAGATTGAAATTTAAAATACAATTTGTTTGTGAGCGAATATGTCAAAAGTTGACATATTATGATATGTCATTTGATTCAGAGTGTTATTTTCTATCGAATAAAAATCAAAAGTTGTAGTCATTTTCGGTGAAACAGGAAGTGACCGAAAACAATTGAATACGTTAATAAATCTTAATTTATGTCATGTACTAACATATCAAATCTCATTTTTTATCTGAGAAAATAAAAAAGTTATAGGGGTGAGACCTCGGGTGAGACACTTTTGAGACGCAGCTGGTATATTTAAGTGTTTAGCAGTCTGTTATTTTTGCTTTTACCACGAGAATTGGTTATTATTTAAAAACGATGAAGATTTTCTCTTTATTTACATGTGCGAAAATTAAGAAAAACAACCATAACTTTTTCAAAATTCCACGAATAAATCCACTTTTTAGCCATTTACCTACTTCAAATATCAAATTTGCTTGTTAGTCAGATTCTGGCAAAAGTCAAATACAATAATAAAGAAAATCATACGATTTAGAGTTTTACCTGTGACCCTGTAAATAGTGTCCAAAAAAAATAGAATGAATAACATATTTTAAAAATGCTGATTGAGTAAATTCTTATAGTTCTTGGTCTCTAGCTTTACACTAGAGTGCCCACAATAGTATATAGCATTTTATAGAAACTCTTTAAATGATTATATTTTTTTTCTTTTTAGGGACCCTATCCTGCATTTCTGATGGAATGCAATATGGATGGACCGCACCGATCATTCCCAGGCTTCTGGCCCCAGACAGTCCCATTGTCGTGACCGAGAAGCAAGCGGAATGGCTCGAAACCATCCTCATGCTGGGAGCATGCTGCGGCCTTCCATTAACCATGTACCTCGTGGACAAGATAGGCCGCAAAGGTTCCCTCATCGGCTCTTCCACCACCACCTTAATTGCGTGGATAATTATAGCCTTCGCGCCCAGCATAGAATACATATACGTAGCTAGATTCTTCGCTGGAATAGCTGGAGATACGGCGTTTGTAGCGGCACCCATGTACATAGCCGAAATGGCCGATCAAAAAATTCGCGGATTTCTTTCAAGTATAATTTATATAATGATGTTAACCGGAGTACTTCTAGTCTATTGCGTAGCACCCTTCGTACCCATATGGGTTCCGTGTGTTATAGGAATTTGTTTCAATGCCATTACTTTAACGAGTTTTCCGCTTATGCCAGATTCACCTTACTATTTGTTGTATAAAGACAAGCCTGAACAAGCTAGAAAATCATTAACACAACTTCGTCCTAACGGTAATACCGACGCAGAACTTAAAGAAATAGCGGCAGCAATTCAAAGACAAAAAAGCGAAAAAGGGCGACCTCAAGATTTGATTTTAGTAAAGAGTAACAGAAAAGCTTTAATGATAATGGTGTGGCTAAACGGGTCTCAACATATGAGTAGTATTTCAGTGATGCTGATGAATCTCCATTCCATATTGGAAGAGGCGGGAGCAGTGCACATATCATCATCAACCGCCGCTATAATATTCTCGGCCTTAATGTTTTGCGCCGCCATGTCAGCGTCCTTAGCTATAGATAATTTCGGCAGACGCGTTCTTTTAGTCACATCCGGTATATTTGCCGGGCTTAGTTTAGGTGTGATAGCTGTCTATTTTACTTTAAAAAATCAGGGTTACGACGTTCTGCCCTTTAGTTGGGCGGTTCCGATCGCGGTGATGTTCTACGCGGCCGCTTTCAAATTCGGAATTGGCTTAGTTCCGATCGTTCTCACGGCGGAGCTGTTTCCCGCCAAAATGAAAGCCATCGGAATGACTATTTCCGATGCTTGTTACGTCGGCTTTTCCGTTATCTCGTTGCAACTTTACCACCAATTGAAAAACCGTTTTGGCATTCACGTGCCGTTTTATATTTTCGCAGTGTGGTGTTTCTGCACCGTCGCGTTCACTTTGCTATTCATTCCCGAGACAAAAGGAAAAACTCTGGAAGAAATTCAGTTTATATTAAAGGGAGAGCATCAGGAAACGAGACGGGAATTGAATAATTCCGAGTCGTATGGTAACGAGGGTTACGAATCGTAACTTCATTTACGTCTTTAAAGTATTTTTGTTTTATCTATAAGTATTTATGTAGTATAATATCAAAGTTTATATTTATATAAATAAAATAATACTATTTACTGTTGCTTTAATTTATATTGTAAGAAAACCATCAATCCTTTGTTAAGTCAGGAGGCTTTAGGTTAACTATATCATAGGTATTACTACAGAAAGAATATTTATTTTTTATGAGATAAAACCATTATAAATGTAATAATTACATTGATCATAGTTCAATAATTTTTATTATAAATTATATATTTAATGTACAATAAATTATGTTATGGATTGTAATATTATTTTACATAAAATCTTGCCTAGTTTACCAACTGTAATATGTAATATTTAACAAAAAAATGTAGTATACTTCTAGATAATATTCCTAATTATTAACATATTTAATCAAATCAGATATTAATCCAATTATAACAATTTCTATTAAATTTGTATAGTTAGTTGTGTTCACTAATAACAATATCAGTATTTTTATAATATTCGTATCATGATAATTATATCTACTTTGAAAAAATATAAAAGTATTTTGTCTGAAAAAAAAATACCTTCGTTACTAATCTGCTAAAATACTATTAATAAGAATTTAAATGATTTAAAAAAATTAATAACACAAACAAATAGGTACGATGATAAATAATTTGTTGGCAATACTTAGCTAAAAATAATACAAAGCTACTTAAGGATAAACTTGTGTCAAAAGCTCTAAAGTAGTGATGAAAAAATGGAAGTCCAAGACCATGTGAGTCTTATATTTTTTTAATAGATTTATTACTAAATGCACTTTCTATATAGAAAATCTTTACATAAATAGTATTTCAGTATTTTTACGCAAATAAAACTTTAAAGAAAGAAATTATTATAATATTTTGTCGTACGAAATTTTTTATTTCTCAATATAATATTTTGAATCAGAATTTTTTTTTTGAATTTTAATTTTATGCAATGGTCGGGAAACCACTATCTATAATATATTAAAACAATACTTTTGAACAAATAAGTTATTTTTTATATCACCCACTAAACGTAAGAAAAAGGAAGACCGCAAGTTTTGGCCGTGCGGAATTGCAGAAGTCTTTCATCTTGGGCTGATCGGTTTTGCACAAAGACCAGTCTCCCTCATCGCTACTCTAAAGACACAGTATAATGAGATCCCATTTTTACAATTTGTTTATTTAAACATATTTTTATTTACCAAATATGCACTTCATTTTTGATATACTAAAGTTTTGATATATAGAACACATTTATATAATTAAGATGTTTTTTTTTATATTATTCTAGGTAAAAAAAACATTAAATCGCCACAATAACGGTGCTAACAGGAATACTTCTAGTCTATTGCGTAGCACCTTTTGTACCTAATTGGATCCCGTGTGTTATAGGAATTTGTATCAATGCCATTACTTTAACGAGTTTTCCGTTCATGTCAGATTCACCTTACTATTTTTTTGTATAAAGACAAGTCTGAATAAGCTAGAAAATCATTAACTCAAGTTCGTCCTAACGGTAATACCGACGCAGAACTTAAAAAAATAGCCGCAGCAATTCAAAGACAAAAAAGCGAAAAAGGGCGACCTCAAGACTTGATTTTAGTAAAGAGCAACAGAAAAGTTTTGATGATAATGGTATGGCTCAACGGGTCCCAGCATATGAGTAGTATTTCGGTGATATTGATGAATCTCCATTCAATATTGGAAGAGGCGGAAGCAGTGCACATATCATCATCAACCGCCGCTATAATATTCTCGGCCTTAATGTATTGCGCTGCCATGTCAGCGTCCTTAGCCATAGATAATTTCGGCAGACGCGTTCTTCTAGTCACATCCGGTATATTTGCCGGTCCTAGTTTAGGCGTGATAGCTGTCTATTTTACTTAAAAAAATCAGGGTTACGACGTTCTGCCAGTTAGTTGGGCGGTTCCGATCGCGGTGATGTTCTACGCGGCCGCTTTCAAATTCGGAATTGGCTTAGTTCCGATCGTTCTCACGGCGGAGCTGTTTCCCGCCAAAATGAAAGCCATCGGAATGACTATTTCCGATGCTTGTTACGTCGGCTTTTCCGTTATCTCGCTGCAACTTTACCACCAATTGAAAAACCGTTTTGGCATTCACGTGCCGTTTTATATTTTCGCAGTGTGGTGTTTCTGCACCGTCGCGTTCACTTTGCTATTCATTCCCGAGACAAAAGGAAAAACTCTGGAAGAAATTCAGTTTATATTAAAGGGGGAGCATCAGGAAACGAGACGGGAATTGAATAATTCCGAGTCGTATGGTAACGAGGGTTACGAATCGTAACTTTTTTTACGTCTTTAAAGTATTTTTGTTTTATCTATAAGTATTTATGTAGTATAATATCAAAGTTTATATTTATATAAATAAAATAATACTATTTACTGTTGCTTTAATTTATATTGTAAGAAAACCATCAATCCTTTGTTAAGTCAGGAGGCTTTAGGTTAACTATATCATAGGTATTACTACAGAAAGAATATTTATTTTTTATGAGATAAAACCATTATAAATGTAATAATTACATTGATCATAGTTCAATAATTTTTATTATAAATTATATATTTAATGTATAATAAATTATGTTATGGACTGTAATATTATTTTACATAAAATCTTGCCTAGTTTACCAACTATAATATGTAATATTTAACAAAAAAATGTAGTATACTTCTAGATAATATTCCTAATTATTAACATATTTAATCAAATCAGATATTAATCCAATTATAACAATTTCTATTAAATTTGTATAGTTAGTTGTGTTCACTAATAACAATATCAGTATTTTTATAATATTCGTATCATAATAATTATATCTACGTTGAAAAAATATAAAAGTATTTTGTCTGAAAAAAAATACCTTCGTTTCTAATCTGCTAAAATACTATTAATAACAATTTAAATGATTTAAAAAAATTAATAACGCAAACAAATAGGTACGATGATAAATAATTTGTTGGCAATACTTAGCTAAAAATAATACAAAGCTACTTAAGGTTAAACTTGTGTAGTGATGAAAAAATGCAAGTCCAAGACCATGTGAGTCTTATATCTTTTTAATAGATTTATTACTAAATGCACTTTCTACATAGAAAATCTTTACATAAATAGTATTTCAGTATTTTTACGCAAATAAAACTTTAAAGAAAGAAATTATTATATTATTTTGTCGTGCGAAATTTTTCATTTCTCAATATAATATTTTGAATCAGCAATTCTATTTTTGAATTTTAATTTTATGCAATGGTCGGGAAACCACTATCTATAATATATTAAAACAATACTTTTAAACAAATAAGTTATTTTTTATATCACACACTAAACGTAAAAAAATGGAAGACCGCAAGTTTTGGCTGTGCGGAATTGCAGAAGTCTTTCATCTTGCGCTGATCGGTTTTGCACAAAGACCAGTCTCCCTCATCGCTACTCTAAAGACACAGTATAATGAGATCCCATTTTTTTACAATTTGTTTATTTAAAACTATTTTTATTTGCCAAAAATGCACTTAATTTTTGATATATTAAAGTTTTGATATATAGAACACATTTATATAATTAAGATGTTTTTTTTATATTATTCTAGGTAAAATAAAACATTAAATCACCCCAATAACCCACAATAATAAAGCCATCGGAATGACTATTTCCGATGCTTGTTACGTCGGCTTTTCCGTTATCTCGCTGCAACTTTTTGACCACCATTGATTTTGAACCACCAATTGAAAACCCGTTTCGGCATTCACGTGCCGTTTTACATTTTCGCAGTGTGGTGTTTCTGCACCGTCGCGTTCACTTTGCTATTCATTCCCGAGACAAATGGAAAAACTCTGGAAGAAATTCAGTTTATATTAAAGGGGGAGCATCAGGAAACGAGACGGGAATTGAATAATTCCGAGTCGTATGGTAACGAGGGTTACGAATCGTAACTTCTTTTACGTCTTTAAAGTATTTTTGTTTTATCTATAAGTATTTATGTAGTATAATATCAAAGTATATATTTATATTAAAAAAAATAATACTATTTACTGTGGCTTTAATTTATATAGTAAGAAAACCATCAATCCTTTGTTAAGCCATGGGGCTTTAGGTTAACTATATCATAGGTATAGTATATACTACAGAAAGCATATTTTAAAACCATTATAAATGTAATGATTACATTGATCGTAGTTCAAGAACTTTTATTATAACTGTTGTATTTAATGTATAATAAATTATGTTGTGGATTGTAAGATTATTTTACATAAAATCTTGCCTAGTTAACCAACTATAATACAATACACCGCTACAAAAACCCCTTAAAATATTGATGTATTTTAAAGTTTAAAATATTTTGTTCTGGTGGACCGATTTTGATGATTTTTTAAGAAATTTGTAGCTAAATTATTTGACATTTTAGTATCTCTTTCTAAATTAAAAATGAAAGTTTCCATGTGTGAATTATAGGGAGGAAAGCAAAATATTGATATTTTGGTGAAAGTTTGAAACACCCTGTGCACTATATTATCAAAGCAAACAATTTAAAAATATTTATTATATTTTATCATCTAGGTACGTCTATTCCCGATAGTTTGTTTTTTGATTCATCTCAATTGCTTTATTTATAATGAAGATATTCGCTTTTGAATAAAAGAATAACAATTTATTTGTATTATATGTATATGTATTTTGGGTCATCATCAACACACTTATAAAATAGTGTTTATTTTTCTTTGTAATGTAACTGTCATTTGAGAGTCATATTATTCTTGTTTATTGACATTTACTCTAGTAATGGTGGGTTTAAGTTTTGAAGTATCAGCTATTGCTGCTTTAATTGACCATGGTTAGATATCAACTTAAGGTACAAATTGCTTCATGCTGATGAGTCTATGTAATATTTAACCAGAAAATGTAGTATACTTGTAGATAATATTCCTAGTTAATATATTTAATCAAATCAGATTTTAATCTAATTATATCAATTTCAATTAAATTTGGATAGCCTTGTTTTAACTGATAAAATTTTTGTAATTAATTTATATATCTATTTTTAGTTATGTTCATTAATAACAATATCAGTATTTTTTATAATATTCGTACCACAATTATCTACCATAATTATCTAGATACTTTGAAAAATATATAAATATATTTGGTCTCAAAAAACTACATTCGCTTCTAATCTGCTAAAATACTACTATTAACGATTTAATTGATTTAAAAT